TGTATGTACATATTTACTTTGTGTTCTGTATATGACGCACAGCATGGTTGTGCAGTATCATGTCAGCTTGTGCATAATGATTAGTTATTTCCTATATATCCAACTCTGACAAACACTCTGCTCAGCTCTTCAGATGTTTGTCATTATGAAGTTACAATAAATGAGAATGCAAGAAAACTTACTGATGAGGCAGAACTAATTGACCATCTCTGATTGGTTAGAGAGCTTAATCCTGCTCAAAACCTTTTAGAAGCTAATATCTGTGCACTGCTGCCAGTGCTGTTCAGTGAGTCTGGGTCACAGGAGGCCTCGACAGCACCTCTCCACAAGTTTTGTAGCAGATTTCTACAACAAAAATATTTGAAACAAGTTACATAAAGTAGCTACTACTAATAGCAACAGTGCGTATTGTAATTATACAATATCACGAAAGGGGTAGTTGTGCATAATGAGTGCTGCTCTTATTTTGCAGATAATACCTTTTGTGTAAAAATGTCAAAGTCGGTCTTTTACTTGTAATGAGGTTTTTACTACCGAGTGCCTCATCTCCTTGTGCCACCTGACGGGGGGGCACATGGACTACTAAGGCTCCTGTCTTACAAGGACGGAGAAGAAACTGCAACCTGCTGCACTCACCTGTGTTCAAGTGCCTGTGGTTCAGATTACATAAGCAGCCGCTCAGATTACTTTGTCATCTACTGTACATAGAGCTGTGTCTCCTCTTCTTGTCCAGTTGGATAAGAACAGTGGTCCTAAGAAACATATGCTATATTATTATTATATATGCTATATTATAAGCTTCTTAAATCTAAAAATGCAGTTCATGTTACACTAAAATGCTTATTCTGAGTGCATCTTCTCTCTGACATTTGCTATCATTTACAGCAATTATATCTTGTAGCACTTGTCATTTAGTGTTTCCACAACCAGATTTATATATAGAAGAAAAAAAAAAAAGAAATATTTGCCTACACTTTTATGCCTTGTTAAGGCCATTATTACACCCTGTAATCAGGTATTCTGCACATTTTTAAAAGTCTTAGAAGCATTGAATCTAGTTTCCTCAATAATTGAAGGTATTCAAAAGTTCATGTAGAATTTATTTTCCCTCGACTGTTGGAAAAGATTACATTCCTGCATTTTTGCAGAGTTTAAATCAGCACATAGCAAACACTGTGAGCTTCCTACATTGGCTAAGAAGGTCATCATCTTTTTCTTTTTCCTTAATTGAAACAGGTAGTCCCATTGAGACCGTGATCACTTTAGACCTGTGTACACGTACAACAAATACAGTTTAAATTATGATGGATTACAACAATCATACATACAGAAATCAATTACATGTATAATGGCAAATACTTACGGTACAGTAAGTGTAGTCTTTTAAATTCCTTAATTTAGATGATGGATGACAGTTTCATGGTTTTTTTTTTGTTTGTTTGTTTTTTTGGAGTTCATTCCACTTATGGGGTAAGTATCTGAACCCCATCCTTCCTAGCTCGTTTGAATATGTGGTAATGTTAAAATGTCCTGTGATCTCAGACTGTAATTACTATGTTTATATGAGAGCAGAGGTAGTGGGGCGGTTTTTGAAATAGATAATGACATACAGTGCTGCTCCCTTTTACCAGATAAGGAGGACCATCCCATCTTTTGGTATAAAACACAGGGGTGAGTGGAATTTATCTCTCATAATGAAGCACAAGGTTCTATGATACACAGTGTCAACAGGTTTTAAAGTGGAAGAAGAGGCATGCATGCAATGGCCAAATGTTGATTTTTAACAAAAACTAAAAATAACTAATTACTTTTAATTACTAGTGGCTAGGATTCAGCGCTGTCACCGCTGCGGCCCAGGTTCAATTCAGGGTTGCGTCAGGAGGGGCATCCGGTGTAAAACGTCGTGGTGTGACGATTCTCTGTGGTGACCCCTAATGGGAACAGCTGAAAGTGACAAATTTAATTAAATATTTTTAATTGGTTAAGCCACCATGTAGTTTATGCTGCTTATCTTGGTTCAGGTCATTTTCAGTAAAAAAAAAAATGTTATCATTAAGAACCTGCTATGTGCAGCTAAGAAGTACAGAAGAACACAGTACTACAGGACTATTTGGTTCTTCTTACCATTGCTAACTCTGAGAGACGAGACAGTCCAAGTAACTTCAAAACAGTGCTGATTTATTCAAAGGATCACAGGTAAAATTAACATTACACGCTCAGGTATCTTGCACCTCCAAACTGCAGCAGGCAGATGTAAGATGAAAGACCCTGACCCCACCAGGCCTATACATTATATCCCCTCAGTTGGGCTAGCCCCATACTACACAGAAACGTCAACCGAGACGTCTCTG